CCCCAAAACCCCAAAACCCCAAAACCCCAAAACCCCTTAAATTTGGCTAAAGTTTGAATAATTTAAAAGCTACGGCTGGGTCCTTTAGAGCTCTCGCAAATCTAAATAAGTTCCTTTGGGCATTCTAGCCTATGCTAAGTGCTCATCAAAGTCACCAGTTGGCAGCAAAGGCTTCTTCTGATACATTTTAGTCAAAAATTTCGATTTCTGGTTCGATGAACTTCCTGAATAAATGCTGCGAAAGGGATTATTCCTCTTGACTATTTCGTTTGAAACAGAGAGTGAAGTACAAGAGTCTTGTGATCTCTGATAATGCGTGATCGTTCTTGTAATATTCTGAACTCTCTTATTTGTATCTATAGAAAGACTGCTGTATGAGGATCAAGAATTCTCTAAATTTGTCCTTCCTGCCTTATATTGAGACCTTTTCGGATTAAAATAATTTTGCAAGTTTTCATGATCTTTAAGCTCTGATTCTACCGCATTACAACCTTCCAGGATGTTGAATAATGCAGTTCAAATTTCTATTACTGACTTGATCCGGCTTATATCCTTGAGCTGATTTTCTTCTTGCAAATGGGCTCCGAGATCCAATTCTGTAATAATTTGAGATATTCTAAATTGATTTCTCTTCTCATAATCGATTCTATTAACAGCTTCAGTTGAGAAAGCATTTGAAGAGCCACTTGTGTACTTAGGAGGAGTATCCTTGCTTATCAAAAATCTTCTGTTATTCTTTTCCAAGGAATCTCTTTGATTCTGTGAGTTGCTGACAAAATTGTTCTTCAAAACATATTGATAACCATTAATCTTACTCTTAATGTTCGCTTTGATTTCTTCGCTAGTTCTAGCAAAATTAGTTGTTTGATAACTTGGGTTAGGCTTCATCCTCAATCATTCAAAGGCATATCATAATTGTTTCTCTTAGACTTAGAAATTTTCCTTCCTTGATGAATTTTCTCTTTCAGAATAGTGATGATAGCAAGGTTTTCCCATAAGGCTCTCTGAAAGGATTCGCCGTATTAAAACCGGAATTACACAAGCTGTTGTTATAACTTCTCTTCTGGTAAGTCTCATCTGTAACTTTAAATACTCTCTTATTCACAGTATTTCCCTCTTGAGATTTTTTCTCAACTATGCAAGAAGGGTGTCTCACACTGGTCTGAACCAGGGAATTTTGCTTAACAGTTTTGACAAGAAATTTTAACTTTTCTTGAATATTCTGTTTACTCTGATCTAATTTTTCTGTTGAATTATAATTGCTAAGCTCAGTTTCCAATCTTTGAACTTGGTGGTTGCAGCTTTCATTCTTGTCGCTCAACAACGAATCTGTGGGGAAAGGGACTTGCTCTGGATTAGTTCCAACCAATTTAGAGATATCTCCTTCAGGGCGAGAATTCTTGTCATCAAATTAGCCATTATTTACAACCAGATCTAAAAGACCTGCTTAACTCTTTCTTGATATATTCTTTTCTGAGGTACCTCTCTTCTCTCTTGTCAGCAGAATTCTTCAGATTAACTCCAAAGGCAGATCGGAATTCAGAGTTGTTATATTTACCAAAAGCTGTGCTATTTTTAGAATTTCCATTTTCTTTGTCTCCCTCCTTATTTGTGCTGGTTAAAGTGAAGCCCTTTTTGGTTGATGCTGGGCTTCATAAGGTGATTTCCTCTTTTTGATGAGAATCTCCCTGACAGTTTCTGGTCTAGGCATCCTTCGGTTTGAATCATTTTTATGAGGTTCAACCACTCAATCCTTTGGAATTGTGTAGTAAGGAGGGGTAACAAGTTGTCTGTTCTGTCCGAGAGCTCCTTTTTAGCATAATTTTGAATTAGATTTATGTCTTCAAGCACAACCGAGGAATTCTCTCTTTTCCTTTGGTAATGCATGTCTTTTGTAACCTTTTTATTACAGTTGCTTTCAAGTTCAAGGGTATCATCGATGTCATCAGCTTCACATAACTCAAATTCTTGTTTTGTAAAAGTCGAATTTCTTCGTAAAATATGTTTCGCTGAAGCTTCATTTCGAGTGGAAAATTGCTTGGAGTCATCAACACCTTTTAAATTTTTAATACTTTGGATTTGTGTTCTAAAATGATCTGTTGCATTCTGATGAAAATAATTAACTTCGTTAACAAAAAAGTTGCTAAAAGGCGATTTATCCTTCTCAAGAGATTTGGCTAAATCAGGTATTTCCTTTGAAGAAACCTGGATGTCTTTTGTTGGTTCAAACTTTTGCGGATTCTCCTTTAGTTGACAAACTGGAATTTCAACTTGTTCGATACCAAAATCTTTCTGCTGAAGAAGGCTTTGCTTATATTCATTTTTCTGAAGGTCAGCAGGTTCAATAGTTTGGCTAGAGGGCTTTGGAGCCTTAAGTCTCTTCAGAGAGGTAGGATTAAGCGAGGATTCATTGGCTTTGGAGGACTCTATTTGCTGAGCACTTTTATTAGAAATGCTGGCAAGTCGGAATTACTTTCTTTTGGTTGAAAGTTCTGATCTGTTTCATGCATTTATTGGGAAGATATAGCATCATTTGAATCTACAGTTTCGTTATGTTCGTTCTTGATGAAAGGATCGGGTGTCTCAGAATCAGAAATGGCTTTAAAGGTTAGAGATAAGTCCCTACTGATGTTCTGTCTTGAGGCTCCCTTAAAAGTCATTTCTTCAATGTTATCGCAGTTGGGTGGTTGTTTGGAAGGGGATGAATTGGAAAGTTTTTCTTGATCAATTAAAAACCCATTTACTACTTGTTGTGGAGATGAATGTTTGACTGAATTAGATTTTAGAGGATCTATTTTGCCAACTTTATCGTATTCAATTGGAAATTTAAAAATTTCTGGATTAAAAATATGTTTAATGTTTCAGACTTTTTCATCTATTTTGTTGGAATTCTGCTGCAAATCACTTTGGAGATCTCTTTTAAACTGATTTAATCGAGCCAACTCATCCTTCTCAATTTTAAAATCCTTTGACCTTTCATCAATCTTCTCTCTATCTCAACTCTCCTGCTTCGCTAGCCCCTTCTCTTTATCCTTCTGTGTATTTTCCAAATTTCTGAGAAATCCAACAATATCATCGGTTGCTTCAGGAAACTTGACCACAGAAGGCTTAATGCCTTGATAAACATACTTCCCCTTCATTGAGGGTGGGTACACCACAACTGAAGGGAGGCCTTCTCTCGGGAAACCATCGATACAGAGCATTTCTGTTTTACGAAAACTCCTGAATTCATACATCTCTCAAATATCTGTTAGTGCTTCTTTCCACATGAGGAATTAGGTCTATGGAGATCAGTGGATCACTTAGGCTTATGTGCAACACTTTTTTGGATCAAAGTTATTGAAAAATTTGATCTTGGCATTAGAAATATGGAGTGACCGCTACTAAATTATATTTCTAATACAAGTATGTAAGACATATCAGAGCACTTTCTCTAGAAGTAGGTTCTACCTCAGTTCTAATCCTGAAAAGTAACTCGGAGCTAATCCTAATCAGGAGTTGGCTCTTTAAGATGTGAATTTATAGTGCGCTCAAAGTATTTAAGAATAATTTATATGACTGCCAATGAAGTTTGAAAAGGTGGAAAGGTCCAGCAAATTGGGGTCGATGTCTTGAATGGAGAAAGCCTCAAGGGAGCCTACAGAGATCTCCTAAGCTCTAAGCCAACAACTTCATCTTATCTGTTCTTTAATTCTATTTCATTTATTCTTACGTGCAACACTATATCTTATGTCAAGTTTTAACAAAATTCTTGAAATCTTGGTTATTAACAGCTTCGTTCAATAACTCCATATAGTCCTCATCCTGGTTATCTTCATAACTCTCAATGATAGTTATACAAATAGGGACATATTGGTCGAAAATAAGCTTTTGGTAAAATTCATCGTCAAACTGAAAAATGTTGAGAGAATATTCTTGAAACAATAACCTGGTCTTTGATGTCGAGGTGGCCATACCGTCCTCAACTCTGAAAATGTTGAGAAGTTCTCCGATGCTGGCCAACTTTAGATTTCTTTGGTCCTTGATAGCCTGCATGAGTAGGATGAATATTTCCTGAGCCAGTGGAACAAGTAACTTATACTTATCAATAAAGTCAGGAAATGCATCTAAGATCATAACTTTCACTAATTCTTCCCAAAAAGATTTAAACTCAGATGGAAGTGTGAAGGAGCTTGATGTATTATTCCGATTCTTTGCGTTAAGTGTATTTTTATCTTCAAGATCTTTAATCCTGGACTTTAGACAATGATTTTCAGCATTCTTAGAGAAGACATCATTTTCAAAAGAAATCATTTTATTTTTCATATTCATTTACCTAAGCTGTCAGCTCTGCAATCTTCTCCTTAAATTTCTCGATTGAGAAGTTATCTTGCATGACTTTATCCAATCTCTAACCACAATTTTCATCTTCCTTTGGATATTCCCGGTTCAGCATTTTCCAAATATTTTAAAATTTCAAAAACTATGTATTTTGAAGGGGTTTTGGGGTTTTGGGGTTTTGGGGTTTTGGGG